CGTTAAACTCCTATTAATTAATGATATATTCATTTTTTGTTTAGACTTTTTTGGTTAAAAATTGATCGATCTAAAATTCGAATTTTGGGTTGTGCACTGCTATGCTAAATCTTAGAAAAACCATAAATTCCTCATGCGAAGTCAAATTTGGACGTTCTTTTTATGCACACTCTCGGTTTAACATATACTATGAATTTCGTTTAGATTGCTAAGGCTAGAAATTATTTTATCGTAAATTCACTTTTTACGATTCCCGGTGTCGTGCCGGTTTTGCCGTAAAACTTCGACGAGTCATAACTTCTTCGTTATAACTCGCATTTCGGCATTCTTTATATGTACGGAACCCTTGTGACATATACTATAACTTGGTTAAGATTATTTATTCTAAATAATCTTCTATTAAAAAAGTCATTTTTGATGCTTATTGTCTCTAAATTGACTAGCCCAAATCTGCGGGTGTTACATTATCCCAAAAACTCATGGGCAAAAAAGCACAAACACGGGCGGAGCTAAAAGAAAAGGTAGAATGGTACTTGATGCAAGAGGAAGGAGAGGCAACGAAATAGGCATACCTCCACGTCATGACCCTCCTCGCCAAGCGCCACAACCCAACTCACATAGAAGCGTCGGGTGGGAGTAGACATTTTGTATGGGGAAGGCGCTTACAAGGGTGTTTCCGACTGTTCACATGAGAGGATAGGCGGGGCCTCCAGCCAGATGTCTACGTAGTCACAGATAAATTACAGCCGACGAAAGCAGCAAAGGGACGATACTGCGAGTACCACAAAAGCAAAACACACGGCACCACTAATTGTTCGGTCCTAAAGAAAGAAATAGAGGAAAAACAATTAAAGGGAAACCTCATCGAGATAGCGCGAAGCCTCCGCGCCAAATTTGATGCCAAAAATTCTAAGGGTACAACAAAGGAGCACACCCAACCCTGGGAAATACTCATGATATGCGTCAAAAGGGAGTGGCAAGACAAACAAAGTGACCTGGTAAGCTTCACAACAACAACGTAAGGGCTCACGTTTTCAGTAAGAGACCCCAGGCTCAGTGGTTGGAAGGGTGATAACCCATTCATAATCCAGGGGTCTATAAAGAATGTAACCATCCACATGGTCTACAAAGACACGGGCAGCTCACCAGATATAATCTATGCACATTGCTTCCGTCTCCTCCCCGAAAGATGGAAGGAGAATTTCAAACCTACCACATGAAGGCTCGTAGGATTCACATGACACAATTTGTGGCCATAGGCATGATCCACTTGCCACTCACGCTGACCAGCCATGAAAAGCAGCGAAGGAAAACGGCCCTAATCAACTTTATGGTAATCTGACACCCTGCAGAGCACAACATCATTTTAGGAAGGACGACCCTGATCAAGCTTGGCGCGATCCTATCCATAATGCATGGAATCATTAAATTCAGCACCACTGAAGGATCGGGCAAGGTCCTCGCCACACCCCCAAAGGAGTTGCAATGCTTTGAAATCATGCAGACAGTAGAAATAGCGCAGGAGACCAAGAAGGCACGGGTCGACGGTAAACGGAAAAGAGATAATCAACGAAGCATACACGGATCAGTGGGTTAGCATTGGTAGTAACCTTCCCGAGCGCACAAAGGGGGCACTACTAAGCTTGCTCAAGCGATACAAGCATGTATTCGCATGGACTCCCACAAATATGTTTGGTGTAGATAGGAAGGTCATAGAACACAAGCTAATGATCAAACCAGGCACGATGGAGGTTAAAAAAAGAGTCCAAAGAGGGGACCACAACAGAGCAATTAACGCGAAGGTAGCCAAGCTAGCAAAGGCATGAATCTTAAGAGAGGCAGTATTCCCAACATAGATCGCCAACCCCGATATGGTGAAAAAGCACGACGGTTCATGGATGTTAAACTTGTTGTCGTGCACCATTTAAACAAATAAAAATATAAATTAAACTGCTCTATTGCACTAACATGTAGTACAGGTAAGCAGGGTCGGATCCTCAGGGACACGTCCTAAAGTTTACACCTCTTTGCGTAAGGCGTGAACTAATTATTGATGAGTGCAATAAACATAAAGGGGGGGGGGGGGTATTTCTGAAAATTGGATTAATAAAATCGAAAATGTCAAAAGAATAACTAAATTGAAGTGATAAAAATTCAAATAAGAGAAAGCAATTCCAGATTCGCGGTGACACCCCTGATCATATAATTAATGTACATGTTTAAACTGGTACTAAGGTTCATTAACAAGCTCTAATGACCTCTATTACAAAAATCATTTAATCAAAGTTAGTTCTTTGAATTAAATCTAAATTTTTACTAAATTAACCAAACAAGCTCTTGATTAACAAAGAAAAGTTGCTTTAGACACAGTGTAATTTCCAGTAAAGTTCAATACCTCTCATAAGCTCGAAGGAGTTAAAATTTGTTTGATCATTTCATATTAGAGTTAAACCTAAAATCAGAATTAATCTAATATTTGTCACTTTTTACTAATTAGTCTAGACAATTACGGATCTAAACAACGAGATGACTAGAATGATTCACAAACAATTTAAGTGGCCAACAAAAATTGAAATCAAAATCAAACACTCAATTTAACATAGAATTGATCAAAGTAAACATTAATCATAGTCAAACATAGTGCCTATTTCCTAATGATTAATCATACGAAAAGGTTACGTCTTGCAAAACTGAAATATGACTTTTTAGCCTGACATGGCTAAAAACGGATTACAAACAGTAGAAAACAGAGTCTAAATGATAAATCTTACTAAACAATGAAAATCAATTGAATCATCCCCTTTAGATCTACGTTCTTCACTTGAAGCCCTCCGAAAAACGCCTTAGAATCGCCAATTAGGTTTACTGGATGAGCATGTGGCTCTATTTATACGTCTGGTTGTAAAAATGTGGTGCATGCGATTGCATGTACACAAACTGCGATCATATGTATCACCTAAAATGTACAGCGGGCCTTTTAAATGAAGTAAATTACCATTTCGAAGCATTTTGGCCAACCTGCGATCGCAAAGGCACAACCTGCGATTGCATGTATCTCTTTTTTCTAGTCTGATGAATTTTTGGCATGAAAAAACCATGAAGCGAGGTTGCGACCACACCTGCGATCGCAAAGGCATACCTGCGATCGCATAGGGGCAACATGTGAACACATGTTGTCATTTTTCGGCTCTTTGATCGTCGTTCCTCCTTCCAAGCAGTTCTTGATCAATCATCGACATCCGTCTCTAGTCTAGGCTCTAGTTAAGCTCCAAAGCATCCACTAACGCATCCCGAACTCGCGTAAAACTCCATGTGCTCCAAATTACCCTGAAAAATAATAACAAAAGTGAACAGTACGAGCATTCTTGAAAATAAAAACGAAACACAATATACATAAGAATAATCCAGAGTTAGTTAGCTTTTTATAATGAAATACAGAGGAAATCGTGCTAAAAGATGCATATAAAGTGCATCTAACAAACCTCCCCAAACTTATACCTTACTTGTCCTCGAGTAAGGAAAGGATAAACGCGGTAATCGGAATAGAGGGAAAGGGTAGTAAAGGAATAAACTAGACACACTAACAACCAAAGGAAAAAATCTGACTACAAGAACGACAGAAAATAAACAGAATAAGAAATAAAATATGCATGCCAAAAATAAAGAAAATGAATAATGAATGAAAATAACATGAAAAAGAGAAACGAACAACTAAAATTAAACAAGCTTCTTTATATATATATATATATATATATATATATATATATATATATATATATATATATATATAATCAAACTTTACATCGAAATAAGGCTCCAATCATTAACACCAAGGCAACCGTCCTGCCACCTTTCATGTATCACAGACTCCCAAAGTGAGGAAGACCACGAAACGGTGTAACCCAATAATCCAACCCTAGTTATATTTAAACTTTATACCTTAAATAGCTTTATGAGCAAAAATATCACAATCCGGATCAAAATCAACGCATCCTTAAGATCCCACATGACCAAATCAGCTTCTGCTGAAGCAGCAAGGGCCAACCCCTATAGGAGCCTGAGCTCTATGCTTTCACTTTTTTGAGAGCCACAAGTATCCTATCACACAGTTCTTTATTCGCCAGATTTAACTTTGAGACGGCTTCTGACTTGATTGAACTTTGATTTTTTACTTCGTTTAGAGCTTGAATTCTTCAATCTCTTTATATATATATATATATATATATATATATATATATATATATATATATATATATATATATATATATATATATATATATATATATATATATATATATATATATATATATATATATATATATATATATATATATATGGAATTTCTTGAAATTTATTCAACTGAGCACTTGAAATTCTCGATTTAGGCACTGAATATAACGTTGTACACTTTCTTCTTTCTTGATTGTGTGGATATGATACTTAAGTTCTCTGTTACCGTGAGGGTAACACGTGTCAACAAATAGGGTCATGTTCTGTGGATTTAGAGTTGCTGATAAATATTATTTTGAAACATTCATAAGCAAATCATCCTAAAGCTATTATTACCGCCCAAAAAACGGTTCAGTACGCCATTTTATATTATTTGTAGTTGGGATCTCGAATCACGGTGTTTGGGTCCCTTAGTCATGACGGCTGATTTTACACTTCCAATAACAATCAGGTCGCTTCGAATGGTTACATTTTTAATTCTCAATATCCCATTTCATGGAGCCATCATATGTAAAGAATGTCATCATCTCGTATATTTTTAATTTTTTTGTAAACAAAAAAAAACTATGAAGAAAATAAAATAAAAAGCAAGGACATATATGAAAAATCTTTTTGGATATTTTTTTAAAACTTTTTTTAAATAAAATCCCCTCCCCATGCTTAAATTTAAGCATTGTTCTCAATGCTTAGGGAGGAGTGGAAAATGAGTACTCGGGTGGAGATGGAAAGCGACGGAAGAACTCATCGCGGAAATCGGTAAAGTCCTTGTGTTAACCTAAGACCTCGTCACGATATTCTGAAACCTGAGTGCTATAAAGTTGATAATCGAAGCGGAGACCAGTCATAGTCTGCTGAATAGTAGCAATATCCTGATGGAGTCCATCCTGAAAATCAGTCTGCATGGGATCAGGTTGGCTATAGGAAAGTGGTGTGGTATCCGTGTAATTAGGGTGCATAGTGGATGAAGATAGTCTATTAGAATGCGGACCGGGGGGGGGGGGGGCTGATGTGACCTACTTGGGCGAAGTGGTGATGGAATGTTTGACGGAAGAACCCACGTCTCGCTAATGGGGCCAGCGAGGCCGATGTCATCAGGACCAATGACCTTGAAGTAAGTGGATCGGCCAAGCATCCATACATTCCCACCCAGAGCGGGGCATAGCATGTGCACGACCCTAAAGTTCTGTAGGGTCAAACGAAAGGAGTCACCCGTAAAGAAAGTGTACTACGGGGGAGATTGCTCTCCGAGGGTGCGAGAAATGATGGCGATCACCACAATGAATGGCACTACCGGTGCGAAGGTTTAAAACTCTGTGGAATCTTTTGATGATTAAACCACCAAAATGAGGGCACTACGATCCGGTGACCATGCACTACGTAAATAATATTGCAAATAATTTTCAAAGAGATTTTTAGAACTAGATGGACAATGTTGGTCTGAACGGATTGGGAGAACTCATAATAATCCAATCCGGTAATGGAGTGCCAAAAATCGTGCACGTCGAAAGCAGGGGATTGCTGAGTTAAGTTGGTGATGGGGGTATGGAAAAAAAGTACACAACTGGTCAACGTGAATTGAATGAGGGGTGCTAAAAATGCGAAAAGAAAAGTTTTCCTCATGATTGACATCACTAAATGTAGTTATAAACTCTCGGGTCAATAAAGGACAACCAAAATCTGCACCTAAAAGATGCTCCCAGCCAATATTAGCGAAGAGTGCACGAACACCATCATAAATATGGAGTTCCCGCATTAATGTGTGGCTGGGGGCTCAGAGCTATGGTAAAATTTCTCGTTCCTGAAGCTGCTGAAAACAGTTTAAGGCAGCCTGGGGACCTAAATCTAAGGTCACCTTGTCCACTTGGACGATGTATGACGGGTTCGGGATGTCAACATTTCGGCATGAACGTGACGGTCTAGGAGGCATTTTTCAGGTCAAAAACTAGGACAAATTTTGCACAATTTCCAGATAAGCAATTATCAAGCAAAAATAAAATTTTCTAACTACACACCCATCGGATACGAAAGCCCGCACAAATATATGACAAAAACAAAAAAGTTCAGTTTCAGAACGAAAATAAATGACTGTGCGTTGAGCAGCAGTATATTTTTCACATCTGAAAAAAAATTGATTTTTGAAATTCCGCTCAGATGAACCTCTTTTGAATTGAATCCCGAGCAAACGTTTCAACTTTTCGTGACCTACGGAGTGCTAACGGAGCGTAGATCTTGTTTGCTTAATTTGGATGAAAAATGAGTGATTTTAGTGACTTTTGGTGAAAGAACTCGGGAATAGATGGAATCCAGAGAGAATTTTAGAGTTGTGGTAGTTACAAATGAGGCCTGCGACCCACTTATATAGAAAAATAGGAAGTTGCGATCGAATGTACTAGACCTGCGATCGCAGGTTTTTAAAAATCCAGTTGTTTGGGTTTTACAAAGCAGGTAATGTCTAGATGCAAGAAAATTGATACATGTGATTGCATGTATAGAAACTGCGATCGCAAGTGTTAATAAAAATGTTGGATTCGATCATTTAACATTCAAGGGAATAGCAGTGATAAAATAAGTGATACATGCAATCGCATGTATAGAAACTACGATCGCAGGTTGTCTTTTTTCGTCAAAAATCGTTCCAAAAAACCTCGACGGCCTTCTGCGACCCCGAAATGCATACATTGCAATCGCATGGACCACCAAAACTGATTTTTTTTCAACATTTTTCAAATTCTCTCAGTTCCTTGTTGTATTAAAAACACGATTCAGTGAAAAAGAGACGACCTAAGTAACTAAAAACACACAAAAATTGAAAACAAGTTGCAGAAACAAAAACCAGAACAAACGCCCGGGTTGCCTCCCGGTAAGCTGTCCGTTATTACTGTCGTTGGCTCGACATTGTTACTTGGTTTCCTCAATTTCGGTAAGTCGGGATATCGACTATCTTCACTTCCTCGTTTTTAACTTGAAACCCTTCGTAAAAGGGTTTGAGACGATGACCATTACCTTAAAAATCTTTCCTGTTTGTTCACTCATAATTTCTATGGCTCCATGATCATACACGTTAGTAACAATAAAAGGTCCCACCCAACGAGACCTCAATTTAACGGAAATAATTTTGCAATGAGAATGATATAATAGTACTTTTTGATCGGTAGTAAATACCTTTCGTGAGATCATCTTGTCGTGGAAAGCTTTTGTCTTCTCCTTATAGATTGCTTCGTTCTCGTAAGCATCGTTCCAAATTTCTTCTAACTCTTGGATATCCAACCTTCTTTTCTTACCCACTTCATCCATGATCATATTCAACTTTTTGAAAGCCCAATATGCTCGATGCTCCAATTCAACCGGTAATTGACAAGGTTTGCCAAAAACAATTCGATATGGTGACATACTGATAGAAGTTTTGTATGTTATCCGGTGGGCCCAAAACGCATCATCCAATCGAATACTCCAATCTTTCTTGACCAGATTGATGGTTTTCTCTATAATGCCCAGAATCTGTATGTTTGAAGCTTCAGCTTGCCCATTGGTTTGCGAGTGATATGTTGTGGATACCCGATGTATGACACCATATTTCTTCAGGACTGCTTCGAGGGTGCGGTTGCAGATATGTGTATCCCGATCACTAATAATGGCTTTTGGTGTCCCAATCCTATCAAATATATTTTTCTTGACAAAATCAACTACAACCTTGGCATTGTCTGTACGTGTAGCTTTTTCCTTGATCCATTTGGACACGTAATCCACAACAAGTAAGATATACACAAACCCGAAAGATGGCGTAAATGAACCTATGAAATCTATACCCCAAACATAAAAGATTTCACATACTAAGATTGGAGTAAGTGGAATATGATTACGAGATGTCAAAGACCCGATCATTTGGCACCTTTCACAAGTTTTGCAAAAATGAAAAGAGTCACGAAAAATATGAGGCCAATAAAGACCCTTGTCCAAGACCTTGTGTGCGGTGTGTTGTGGACCATAATGCCCTCCAAAATATTTTGAATGGAAGAAGTTCATAATTGACTTGACTTAATCTTGAGGTACACATCTTCTAATCACCTGATCGGCACAGTGTTTCCATAGATACGGCTCGTCCCACACATATATTTTCGCCTCCTTATTTATTTTATCTTTCTGGGCTCGGGTAAGATCTGAAGGGAGTTCTTTGGAGACTAAGTAGTTTACTATATCATCAAACCAAGGAGGGTTCTGAACTGCGAATAGATGCTCGTCAGTAAGTGTTTCACGAATCAACTACCAAGATTTCTCTCTCGCTTTTATCCCTGATCTCTATATCAAATTCCTGTAGCAACAAAATTCATATGATCAACCTTGGCTTTGAATCTTTTTTGGCAAGAAGATACTGAATAGTTGCATGATCAGAAAAGATTATAACTTTCGTGCCTAACAAATATTGCCTGAATTTTTCTAATGCGAAAACGATTGACAGCAACTCTTTTTCTGTGGTGGATTAATTTGCTTGGGTGTTGTCCAAGGTTTTTGATGCATAGTATATAACATGGGGAACCCAATCTTTCCTCTGTCCTAAAACAGCTCCAACAACAGTGTTACTGGCGTCATACATTATCTCGAATGGTAAACTCCAATCTGGTGGCTGAATAACGAGGGCTGAAGTAAAAAGATTTTTTAACACATGAAAGGCTTT